TACTGATGTTAATGGAATTCAAAAGGTACATTATCAAATAACCCAAATTCAAATCAAGAATATTTCACATACTAAATTCGTCAAACCCACAATAAAAAGTAATCTTTACTTTTTTCAAATTCTACTTTGCGTATTGCTATAGCTATATATATTTGCTCTAATAGTGTCTCTTCCTTTATTGTTTTGGTTTTAATTGAAGATGATATTTTATAAATATTAGAGTTTTATAAAACGAATGAAAATAAGTTAATGAAAATTGGTATTAGAGGATGAATTTAGGGTTATACATGTTTATTTAAGTAAATTTACATAATGTGATAAATATAATATAATTTTTACATAGTATTTTAATATTACTAAAACAATGCTCTTGTCCAAGTAAAAAAAAATTAGGGTGTGTTTGATTACAAGCATAGAATTTATATGGGAAAAAAATAAATTCTAGGTAATTCGATTCTTTAAAACTTATTTGTACGTAAATTATTAATCTATCAATGTTTGATTGATTTAGTTTTCAACCTAAAAAATATTATACTTGTCTATTTTTTATTGGTGTGCAGATAATAGAGAATTGATAGATAAGAGAGGGAGAAAAAGAGAATTATCTGAAAAATAAAAATTACATTTTCCTAAAGAAAATATTTTCCTTGTATTTCAGGAAAATATGATCACATGATCAAAAGTTGAAAAATATTTTTAATAAAAAAAAATATCAATCAAACACTTCAAAAGTAAGAATTTAGATAGAAAATAACATTTTCTATAGAAAATAAAACTAATCAAACACATTTTAAAAGAAAACACAATCTTAATGATTGAGAAAAAGGGCAAAAGTAAAATAATTTAGAAACCCTTGATAAATTTTGAGTATAAACTAGGGGTGGACAAAACTCTAGGACAGATGAGTTTTGTTCGATTCTCGGTTCTAGTTCTTCTTGGTTCTAGTTCAAGAACTAAAGAATCGAATCTCCCTAATATTTTTAATTATTTTATTTTAAATAAATCAAATTATTTTATTTTTTCTAAATAAATTTGCTGACTAATTAATTTAGTTCAAACCCAAAAATATGACTTTCATATTTCTAATTTTCAGTTCAAAGTTAATTTAATCAAATTGATCTAAATTTTATCTAAATCTGTTACTTTATCGTAATATCGTTTCTACCGTTATGGAGAAATCGAATTAGTGCTCGACAACGCCTTTCTTAATTATTGTGAGCTCTCTATTTTCTTCTTCCTATGATTTTAACAATCAAATTCATGAAGAACTCAACAATGAGAGACGCAAAAAACACATAAAATTGGACTATGTTATTTTTTAAGGATTAAGATTGAACAAATCATTAGTTGAATTAATGTAACTTTGTAAATATTAAAAAAATTAATTATAATACAAAACCTGAGAACCAAATGGAACCGAACCGAACTGAATCGAATGAAATCGAACCCGAACGGTTCTATAATTAATTTGGACCCGACGATTCTACTAAATAAATACATGAAAATTTTGGGTCTGGTTCGATTCTCGTTAGAATCGAACCGGATCATATCCACCCCTAATATAAACAAAAGGACCGGATGAGAAACACATTTTTTGATTGACATCATAAAATTTGTTGTGAAAAACAAATTGTTGAAAAAATATGTTATATTTTTGCAAGTTTTTTTATGAGCTTGCTTAAAATCCATGTTGATTTTTAATTGTCAAATTAATTGTCAAACCTTGGAAGATTAATTGTAAAAATCAGGGGAAAAAATTTATATGTTTTGATATTAGTCAATCCCGACTCACTGGAATAGTAAACAAATTCATCCAGGATATTTGAGCCGTGAATTTTATTATTTTTTCTTATATAGTAGGATCTGATTTCGTATTATACATATAATGTTCGTGCAGAATAAAATTTATACCATCCTATATATTTTTAGACTTGTTTAGAAGGAAAATATAATGATATGTTAAATTTAAGTTATTTTTCCTTATATTATATTTCTAACAAATGTAAGATATCTTTTGCCAAATCTTTCATGATAAGATTGAACTTCTAATAATTTAAGATATCTTTTATCATAAAGATTGGACTTCAACAATCTAGGATATCTTTTATGATAATTACATATATTTTATGATAAGTTTACCTTGTTATTTCAAATTATCTAGATAATATTTTATTTCTATCTTTGATAATTATTTTATCTATAATTAAAGTAGTTCATCAAGAGAAGAATTAATTGCTTTGAGAAAACAATTCACATCTATGACCTTGATGTGTGAAATTTCTGTCAAATCCATGCAAGTGAAAATGAACTTCATGCTTTATTAAAGATTTTCAAAGCGAACTGTCTGCTTCAACTGTCTTTGAGGAGAACAAATAAAAGCATACAATCTTATTCATCGATCAATCTATTTGGTTTGAGTTAAGGATGCTGATTCTTAATTCAAGCGGTGGTCACGATAGAGTATAGTAGTGAAGTGGCGATAAAGTCAGTGCGAGGGGTTTGATTCCAATTCTACAACAAGTCAAAAGAAGACGAAAACAATGGGGTTGTTCTCAGATTTTTTTTATTGTTTTTATTAATTTTGGTGAAATTACAAAATTGAAACTCTTGTATTTTTGATAGTTTGATTTAGTGGATTGTTTTACTTGTGACATGGGGCCCATTGATATTTTCCATTTGGGATTTATCGTATTATATATCTAGTGTTCTGGTTTTAATTTTTCAATTAATTCACACTCAATTAAAACTGTACAAACACAGCACACTCTATACATACTAGTCAAAACTTTAGAAACTGAGTGTAGTTTGATTGATTGTGATCTAGAAATATAACAATGAATTAAAATTTATTTAGGGTTTAGAATTTATACACAAATATCAAAAAGAATTTTTATTCTATTGAAAAGAGACCATATCTTCTAATGCGATTAATTTGGGAATTTTTTTATACAAGCGAGAATGTGGTGACCTTGTTAGAAGGTGGAATAATGTCACATGTTCTATAATTTTGATGACGATCATGTCGTTATCCATTTGACACGCTTTGACATCTCAAGCTCAATTGCACAAGGCGTGAACTAGGATCTTCTAGCTTGACTGTGTTAGTTAACTCTTGAGTTATTGGTCCGATCTCGATTAGTTCTACTAAGAGGGTGTTTGTTAGGAATTAAAATTAAATTTTTTTAGTAGACTATCATTGAAATTTTTGAAGAAACCTTGAAAAAAAATTTGTGACAAGGTCAATTATTTGAAAATTGCCATCATGTTTCCATGTGTTTTCTCAAGATTTCGAATCTTAAATTTCCTGTCAATTCAGCCGACAGTTTCATTTACTTTTGTAAATGGAATCACTTTTGCAAATGCTCTTTCTTTCTTATCTTGCAAGACTGATCTTCTTTTGTCCTCCAAAGGAAACACGGCTTGATTCTAACATGTTTTAAAGATCGACTTAGTCCAGGTTTGACTATCATTATAATAAAATTCTTTTTTTTTTT